TTAACACTAATTAGGTCAATTGACAACATGATTGGGTATAAAAAGAGCTTCTCAGAGTGTCAGTGTCTCTCAGAAGCCAAGATGGTAAGAGGATCACCAATTCCACCATTGTTGCGCAGACAGATATTGCAGCAATACCAGAATGGTGTTACCCAGCGTAAAATAGCAAAGACTTTTAAGTTATCATCATCAACCGTGCAGAACATCATCAAAAGATTCAGAGAATCTGGAACAATCGCTGTGCGTAAGGGTCAAGGCCGTAAAACTCTACTGGATGTTCGTGATCTCCGGGACCTTAAACGTCACTGCACGTCAAACAGGAATGCCACTGTCAAGGAAATAACAGAATGGGCTCAGGAATACTTACAGAAAGTATTGTCACTGAACACAATCCACCGTGCCATCCGCCGTTGCCAGCTGAAACTCTTCATTGCAAAGAGGAAGCCATTTCTAAGCAAGCTCCACAAGCTCAGATGTTTGCACTGAGCCAGGGGTCATTTAAAATGGAGTGTGGCAAAATGGAAGACTGTTCTGTGGTCAGATGAGTCACGATTTGAAGTTCTTTATGGAACACTGGGACGCCATGTCATCCAGACCAGAGAGGACAAGGATAGCCCAAGTTGTTATCAACGCTCCGTTCAGAAGCCTGCATCACTGATGGTATGGGGTTGCATGAGCGCTTGTGGCATGGGCAGCTTGCATGTCTGGAAAGGCACCATTAATGCAGAGAACTATGTTCAGGTTCTAGAACAACATATGCTCCCATCTAGACGTCATCTCTTTCAGGGAAGACCCTGCATTTTTCAACACGATAATGCCAGACCACATTCTGCAGAAATCACAACATCATGGCTACGTAGGAGAAGGATCCGGGTACTGAAATGGCCAGCCTGCAGTCCAGATCTTTCACCTATAGAGAACATTTGGCGCATCATAAAGAGGAAGGTGCAACAAAGAAGGCCCAAGACGATTGAACAGTTAGAGGCCTGTATTAGACATGAATGGGAGAGCATTCCTATTTCTAAACTTGAGACACTGGTCTCCTCTGTCCCCAGACATCTGTTGAGTGTTGTAAGAAGAAGGGGGGATGTCACACAGTGGTAAAAATGGACTTGTCCCAACTTTTTTGGGATTTGTTGACACCATGAAATTTGGAAACAACAGATTTTTCCTTTAAAATGATACATTCTCTCAGTTTAAACTTCTGATCTGTGATTTGTGTTCTATTCTGAATAAAATATTAGATGTTGGCACCTCCACATCATTGCATTCAGTTTTTATTTGCAGTTTGTTTAGTGTCCCAACTTTTTGAATCCGGTTTGTATATGTATATATATATATATCATGTGCATTTTAGCTTATATTACTACCTCGAAATACTTGTTCAAATTCAGCCTGCTTTACCCTTATATTCTGCCATGTTGTTGCTCAATATCTCTCTTTAGGACATTGTAAATTTCTTAATTAATTACTTTTTCACTTTTTGGTACTTTTTGGGTGTACCATTATTGCATGCTTTTTTGTATTTTCTTCTTTGATTTTTTTTTTAGTGAGTCAAATGGTTCTTCTCATCCTAAGCACTTCATTGTATTTTTAACCATGTGTTAACCTGCATATGACAAATAAACACAACTTTAACTTGATATACAATATCTATGTAGTAATATCATAGTGCAATACCGCGGTCTTGTCAAAAGTATTTTTTATGAGTACATTTTAGCAAAATTATTTTTAGATAGTAATTTAACATTTCTGTTTAGTTTTTTAGGTTTTTATTTTTAGTCATAACAATAAATTGTGGTGAAGTTTAAACCTGCTTGAGTTTATTTTAACCTGTGTTAAAATATTTTATCTCAAACTTTAAATCTTTTGAAACGATTTGTGCGTAATTATTATTATGAATTATGTATATTTTTGTAATTTACGTCATGGCTTTTGCTGTCAACCAATCACATCACTACAAATGTAAAAAAATAAAAAAATCACAACACGATGTTTCCCTTCTGCGCATGCTCACACACACCGGAAGCGTCAGGGCAGACGTTCTGCGGATCTTCAACTCCTCGTAATAAAAGGTAAGAAATTAACGCTCCTATTGGACAATTCTTGTCTTTCTAGGTTATCAGAGGTGTAGTTAATAGTTCGTTCGGAACTTCCTCGGTGTGCAACAGAACCGTGTTGGTACCTGAGCTGTTCTTTTGTCTCCATTTTACGTCTGTTGTTATGCTAACCGGCAGATGCTAGCTAATCCCTTCCAGGCTGGTAGTACTAGTACATCCCCTTAAAGCTATCGTCAGCTTTTGTTTCATTCAACGACTGTGACCCACCTCAGGGAGACTCTCAGACAAGACGTGATGAATAAAATACATGATATTGCCCCATTTGAATGAAGTCAATGGTAAAAACTATAAATAGTCAGGTGAAATAAATCATTACATCTGGAGTTGTAGTCGATCACATATAATTGTTTTAAGTTTGCAATGTGATAAAATAAATCAAGTGTGTGGCAGTAGTTGTAATTATGTAAATATTTATTTGACAAAATTATTAAGTCTATTTATTTTCTGTAGCAACAGCAATGAGTTAGATCCTTGTAGGACAGATTAATAATTTCAATGAATTTCCCCCTGGTGTTTGAATAAATAATACACACAATTTTTTTTTTTTTTAACCTTTCTCATCATATGAGAATCCATGTCCAAAATTTTCATTTTGGTTTTGATAGATCATGGTATCTGTTCTGCATCTTGTTTATTACTTAACATGTTTTGGTATAAAGTCGATCCAAAATTGTAATAAATCTGTATGTTTTACTGTTTGGTCACATGTCTGCAGTGTTTTGTCCTGATGATAAAAACACTTTGTGATGTTGGATTAAAGCAGTCGTAATAAATCTGTTAATCAGAGCAAACCAGTGATTCTGTTCCTGTTTTGATAAAGCTGTGTCGTTGTGCAAATATGAATTAAATTTTCTTTCTCGGCATGTTGCTTGTTTAGTCCTGCACCACCAAGGTTAGTCTAATTGCAAAGAGAACGGTGAATGATTAATAGGGATTTGTGTTTGTCATGCTTGTGAGGCTTAGAGCAAGTCTTTTTTGTGAGTTTTTTTAATTTGTTTATTCTACACCATTAAAAATCCCAACAATTGTTCTTTAGGATTGTTGTTTTGCCTTTAGAGCTTTAGAAAGCTGTATAGTCTGTAAAATGAAGAAGAAGCTATTTTAAAATTATGATCACCAGTGGGACAGAACCAGTCATTTTGAGGACTAATTACTTTATTTGTGAAGTGTTTGAGGTTCTGTGTGAAAACTGAGCTTTTCTTTGGACCTTTTCACACACAGGTGTGATACTGGTGCAGTATCTGTCCTCAGTTGTCCTTTCACAGAAACATCAACAGAGAATGTCATCCTACAGTGTTGTTATTGCAAATATCACTCAGCCCTCTGTGAATAGCAAGCGGCCATCAGGGCACTAACGATCGGTCGTTAGGCTGATGGTCCTTCTTTTGCATGTGAACAACTAGTTCTGGATGTGAGCAGCAAACTGGTTGATCCACTTTGAGAAGGTGCTGTTTATAAGACTTGAGTTTATTGCAGTTACTCAGACTGAAGAAGTCTTTTTTGATAAAAGACGAAACGTTTCACCAAAGAAGTATCCGTCCAGAGGACCTGACCTAACCTTGTTGGATTAGTCTACCTGGATTCTTGAGCATGCATCAGGATATTTAAGTGTTAAACCTGGAACTGCTGCATTCTGTGTTGGACAAACTGAATTATCAGACAACTTAAACTCACATCTCGTGTTAAGCTCAAAAAATAAATTTTGTTGATGGAGTTTCAAAGCTGATTTCTTTTTCTTTTGTTTATTTCTTTTCTCCAGCTCTTAGGAGCTCTTCATCATCAGGAAAGCTGTATAAGCATTGGATTGACGGGACGGAAGGAAGCAGTGCGTCGTATGTGGAGCTGCCTGCTGAAATCGCCATGAGTTACAAACCCATCGCTCCTGCGCCGTCCAGCTCCAACCACACTCCACCAGGTACAATGAGACTACGCTGCGTTTAGGATTTTCATGTAGGCTTTGGCTGTTTTTTCTTTTTTTTCTTTCTTTTGACTTGTATTTAATTAAATTAATTGTAATTGTAATTTCTGACTTGACTGTACTTCCCAACTCGATCTGGAAAGGGGCCGAGACTCTAGTGAAGACATTGATGCAATTCTGGGTCTAGTTATGATATACGTATAAGCTGATGCTTCTTGATAAAATATAATTTCCTTGCTTGCCTTTTTTAGTAAATAACCTAATCTGATCAGATTTAATAACATCTCTCATCCAAATTCCAAAGCAAACTATTAATCAAATAGTTAAACGTCATCTAAATTATTGCACAAATAAAACAAAATTAATTCAGTTCCAAGAATTCCAAGAATTGGGGAGTGGTGGTGCAGAGGTTAGAGAAGGCGGGCCTGTGATCGGAAGAGTGCCGGTTCAACTCCCGGTACAGACGACATCAAAATGTGGGTGGGATAGGTGAAGCACCCACACCTGTCTCCACCTTCATTTGCCCCACTCTGGGCCCTTGAGCAAGGCCCTTAACCCCACCATCTGCTCTCCTGAGCACCCTGGATAGCAGCTCTCTGCTCCACACAGAGGGCTGTGGTGGCTCAGTGGTTGCATCAGGAAGGACATCCAATGTAAAAACAATCGCCAAGTCTTCGTGTGACTATGTTTGCTGTGGCGACCCCTGAAGAAGGGAGCAGCCGAAAGAAAAAAAATCAGTTCCAAGAATTATTTTGTTTTCGATAAAGAGTTACTCCTTTATTAATCCTTATTGCTTAATCAAGTCTTAACTATTCATTCAAAAACTTCTCTTAAACTAGTTATTATGTAATTTCCTATTCTTTGTTATTGTTAATGTTTCTATTTTGTTTAATTATTTTTGTAATAAAACTTCCACCTCATTTGGATGAATTTGTTATTGTATTTAACAGATTCTGCTTCAGTGCCTGAGTTCTAATTATTAAAGTGTTATTACATTAATGAAGCTGCTGCTGGTCAGTAAAATGACTTGGCGTCCTGCTTTAACGGGTGCAAAATAAGTGTAGTGAAGCAAGGAGAAAGTGTCACCCTTCCTCCATTCTCTCATAACTCTGACAAATGGAAAAATAAAACTAAATAAGTTTTGTAATTTGGAAGGATTAGAACAAGTCAGCACAGGTTGAGTAGCAAAATGTTCTCTCTAAAATTCAGGATTTCTGGAACATTGTTTCTTGAACACAGTGGACCAGTATGGAGCTGTTCACTCTTATAACACGGCATTACATTTGGTGACAACCCAACCCAGCACGTTGACATGAATGCCCCACACCAGCAGAAATGCACGGTGACAGAGGGTTGATGATTTGGGCTAGTTTTACAGCTTCATGTCCTGGGCATCTTGTAGCCATGGATTCGACTGTAAACACCATGTTTAACAAAGTAAAATATGAGGTCATTTGTTCAACAGGAAGCATGAAGTAAGATGATGCAAGTCCTTAATAGATCTTTTTAATTAATTTCTGCAAACCTCTCATGTCCAGTTTTAGGTTCTGAACTTAACAGATCAAATGTTTTCAGAGGGAAGCTTCTTTTTTTGCCAATATTTTGTTTTAAAATCTCAGACTTCAGAGTGTTAACTTGTTCTCTCTTACACTTAGGCTCCTCGGTGCCGTCTCCATCCCTCCCATCGTCGTCCAACTTTAGGCCAGCTTTCAGTGACTTTGGTCCACCTTCTATGGGTTTTGTTCAGGTACAAGTCTCTTCCATCATACTCTTAATACTTCACTCAAACCGTTGTTTTTCAGTAGATCATAGCATCTGGCTTTGTTCCTGTAAAGCTGCGTAATAATTGACTAACATTGTCTCATTTAACCACATATGGGATGTGAGAGTTTCTCCTTCTAAATTCTCCTGCCCTGGTCTAACCAAACACATCCAAGACCTCCAACAAGTCTCAAAGGTTGGAAGGCAGCTGAGATCATAGGCAGCACGGTGTGAGATGGTTAGAGCAACTTTTCCAGTTCATTCTGTCTGGGATTTTCAGACATTTAAAAATGGTTGCAGGTAAAAAGTTGACCGAGCTGTCAGACATTGCACTGTCTGGACTCGCTGTGAGGTCATTGACAGGTCGGCTCAGATCTTTTCTACCTGTTTGTGCCTTGACCATGGACTGATGGACTGCAAACATTTGAAGCATGCATCAGGATATTTGAAATTTTACATCTTTTTCTAAGACCTCCTTTATTCTGCCTTCTTAGGTGTGTGTGCGAGCACAGTTACAGAAAAACTCAGAACTGAACAAATGTTTAATATCATTCATCCATTATCTTTTACCCACTTCTTCCTTTTGTGGTCGCGGGGGTCACTGGTGCCCATGTCCAGCAATCACTGCAAGAGGCGGGGGACACCCTGGACAGGTCTCCAGTCCATCACAGGGACACTTAAGAGACAAACGAGACAAACAACCAACCATTCAGTCTCTCACTCACACCTAGAGACAATTTAGAGTCACCAATCAGCCTAACATGCATGTTTTGATCTGTGGGAGGAAACTGGAGCACCTGGAGAAAACCCACGCATGCACAGAGAGAACATGCAAACTCCACTCAGGCAAAGAAACAACTGAACATATTAACATCCTTTATGCGTGTTGCCTGTGGTCGCGGAGCGAAGAGGGTGAATTGGAAATACAGTCCATTCGTGCATGTTCTGAGCATAACTTGAAGAATGAGTGAGTGTAGTATGACATATCCTGAGATATATTCATACTGTTAAAACGGGTTCTTTCATTTTTCTGGACTGTATTATGACGTGCATTGAATGTAATAAAATGTGGACGTGAGACGTTAATTATCTTTGACTCACCACGACAGTGGGTCATTTATTAACAGAATCAAGTTTAACACATCATACATTTACATTAATTGGCAAAATTGAAAATAACGACATAATTAATCAGCTTTACAACCAGGAAAACCATACGGCCATGATTTTCCGTTGCTTCACCACAGACATTTCTGAAAAACATCTGGATTAATTTGCTAGCAGCTAGGAGAGTTTAAAGATGGAAAGAGGAAGTTTATCTGAGAGAGATGTGTGAGGGAATTTGTCTGTTTTAACCAGAACGTGCACGCTCCTTTGGAAATCAGCTTGTCCCAACGGTACACTTTGGTGAAGGTAGAACTTTTTACCTTGCAGACGATAGCTTCAGCGTCGGTGTAGAGCTCTCCTTTCAACTCTTTCAGCGTCTCCGTGAGAACAGCTAAAAACCCGCTGGAGTCGTGAGGTTATCCAAACAGAAGTTATAATTCCCAAATCGTCTCTGGTGGTTTAGTGGCAGCTTACTGAGCAGCTGCATCCCAGCATTCTGCATTCTGGAACTGCAAACTCTCTGGAACTGCTACTCCATCTTCCAGACTGAGCTTACAGCAGCTTCAAGACTGAGCTGGCTCTCGAACTCTAACTCTTCTCTTTGAACTAGGAAGTGCCTACATTTAAATGGGCTCTACTTCCGGTTCATTTGAGAGCTTTTTGATTGGTCGATGGACCAAAGCAGAGGTGTGGTTTGTGATGTAAGGTGTTATTAAAAGTCAAGGAAAAGATTCAGATTGTTTAAGAACAGGCAGAAAGATATCATGGAGAAAACCAGACTTCGTGGAGTCACTCACCAAGTATCTTGCTGTAAAAGTTAAACATGACATTTCTTTTCAGTAAACTTTCAGTTGACCGAAACTTGAACTTCGACACACTTACAAAACTTGTTCACTTCAAAGCAGACGATCAAGAAATTGAATCATTACTCTGTAACATACTCTAACTTGATTTCACTTTGAAATGAGGATTAAAAATCATTGTTACTGTTTTAAGTAAATAAAAATGAGTAGTTCACTTCAACATGTAAACATTGTTTGAACTAACACAATTTGATTATCAAAACATTTGTAAAATAGTAATGATCATAGAGAATTGTCTTTTTCCACTTGATTAATTCAAGAAAGAAAGTCTCAGGATGGGTCAACCTGTATCTCTGGATGCAAATCAATGAAATGACAGTTTCTGACCATATGATCCTAAGGTCAAGTTTTGACATCAGGTCAAGTTCACTACAGACTTCCATTTTAGTTTGTGGCTACATCTAGGCGTAAAAGAGATTAAAAAATTGGGTTGCCATGTCAAAATCCAAGATGGCTTCTGCCATATACGTATATTTGTTAACTTAATTTTGATTTGGATAAGTTGGAAAATAAACAATGTCCGGACTTCTGCTTTTGGGGTGTGGCTGCATCTAGATGTAAAAAAGTCACTATCGAAAGATGAGTTGACACATCAAAATCCAAGATGGCCACCACTACATACACACACATACATATATATATAAATCGACCACCCCAATCATTTGAGGAAACTGCTTTAGAAAGTAGTTTCCTCAAATGATTGGGGTGGCTGAAGATCAATTTATGGTGGTCAACGCCACCATTGGCCACCCCCTGGCTCCACCATTGCCCCTGGTTGTGGATAAAATTGCTTCTTCCTCTCACCAGGAGCTGTCACTCTGCGCTGCCTTGAGCAAGCAAAAGACAAAAACTCCCTCTGTTCTTCCACACAGTGCAACTCCTACCCACTTGAATATCTTGCTCCAATCCAGAAAAGGTTAAAAAACTAAAACTGGATGTTTCTTCTGAAGCTAAAGACATTTCTCTTCCCATCAGGGAGGCCTTATCATTTCTGCATCATCTGGAGTGTGTGGCGCTCCAAGCTTCATAGCTTAACGCCACACACTAAAGACGTTGAATTGATAAAGCCTCCCCGGTGGGAAGAGAAATGTCTTCAGCTTCAGAATAAAAGTCCAGTTTTAGTTTCTTTTTTCATTGACTGATCATGACCTAGAGACTCCACAGCATCTTGCACCAAAAACATTAATCTTGAACTAAGTCATGTTTAAATCTTTACTTCACTGGTAACAGACACTTACCGTGAGTTTCTCTAAGTTCTCACGTAACTCATCCTGATGATCTTTTTTCCTTTTTATTCCTCAAACATGAAACGTTGGTGGAAACACTCCAACAGCCCGTCAAAGTGTCCCAGGGCTCCACCTACAGCGAACTTCTGTCCGTCATCGAGGAGATGAGCCGGGAGATCAGGCCTACGTACGCTGGGAGCAAGAGCGCCATGGAGAGGCTAAAGAGAGGTATTTATCTGGACCCAACCAGTTCTGCTGGCTCCACCGTGGGTTCAAACATGAGCCACAAGTATCTGATCCGTCCTTGTCTCTGTCTGATCCAGGTATTATCCACGCCCGAGCACTGGTCAGAGAGTGTCTTGCAGAAACGGAGAGAAGCGCCCGCACATAACCTTTTCTGAAGAAGACCCCCACCATATGCTCAGTCTTTCCTCATGAGTCCCATTGGATATTTTTCAACCCCCCGATGATTTTTGTTGAAACGCTCTGTGTTCAACGTTTAACACATTTCATCACATTCATTTTGTCAACGTCACGCAGCTTTTTAAAAACTAAAATTCTAAGACTGGGTGGTTTCATCTCCCCGAAAATCAAATCATGACAGAACAGTTTAAAAAGTCGTCTTTTTAACTAACACCCCCCCCCCCCCCCTCCCCGGGACATGTTTTGTTGTCGAGCTCACACTCGATTTCTCTCATTCCCACAAACGTTTTTGCATCTCACGTCAGTGTTTGTTAAATAAATTTTGTAAACCAGAGTTTTGCAGTTCAATATGTATATCTTAATAAATAAGGTAAAACTTAAAACAGGCTTGTTTTCTTGCTGTTTAAAGGGAAATGCTAATAAAGCTCAAGTGGTAAGCTGCAGTTTTATTTTTGGATCAGTATTAGAAGAGGACACTAATTAGTTCATATTTATTAATCTGGATAAATAAACAAGCGTGGGGATAAACGAGTTTATTTTTGGTTACATCACAACGTTTCACTTCAGAAAAGCTACTGATGGACACATTGTTACATGTAGTAAACAGACTTTTCAACAGCGACATTCACGTACTTCCACTAAATAAGAGCGCATGGAAAAGCAGAGAAAACACGTCCTCATGTTTAGTGATTGTCACAGACCGGTCCACTTCCTGTCCGGCCTCCAACACGCTGCTTCAGCCGTGACCAGAAGGATGAGCGGGTGGAAACAAGATGTGGAGAAAAAGGTGAAGCTTTCTCTGCTTCTATACTGAGCAGTGACTACAGGAGCTTTAAGGATTATTCACCAGCTTAAAGTAGGAAAATATGCATAACCTATAGGTTACAAGTGCTATGATAAACTCTTATGTTATAAAAATTAAGATTAATTCATTATTAAGCATAATAAGAGGGAAAAGTAATATTTTATAAAACAGGTTTCCAACCTGGATGCTCACTACTGGGAGCAATTACTGACTAAAACTTTATGGATTCCTAAAAGGCTAAATAATAAATACCAAAACAGGAAGTGTTCCCTTAAAGTGAAAGAAATTGCTGCACTGGGTTAATGGTTCTGCGGGCCACGACAGGCACTGACTTTGTTCCAGTCGGAGCCACAGCTTCACATTCAGAGACGGTAAAATCGTGGCTAAACATAAAAACAAGCTGATGGTGTCAGCGCGTGTCTGAGCAGATTGGCAGCATGTTTGGCTTAAGTGCACAGATGAAATCAAAACACCAAGAGCGTCGTCTCCGTCTTGAAGTCCGACCCGTCTCAGCCCTGCAGGGAGGACACGAGCGTTAGAGCGTCTGATCAGAAATATAAATGCAGTTAAAAGTGGGCGTGGCCTCACTGTGGTGGCAGCGGCCGGCCGCGTGTTGAAGTCAAACAGGCCCTTGTAGCGACCCTTCTCCTCCTGCTGCTTGCAGCGCAGCCTCTCCTCCATGGCCTTCAGCTCTTTGTTCACGGAGGCTTCCAGAGTCGGGTCCAACTCCAACACCTTGGCAAAGTCCGCTCGAGCCTCCTCCTCGTTCCACACTGCAGCGTGAGCTTTAGCCCGCTTGTAGTAGGCCTTTACGTTATCTGGAAGAAAGTCCAACAGAAACTGAAAAAAGTGAAGACTGAGTGATCCACTCCACGTCAATGGAATTTAAAAAAAGTTTGTTCGTTTTTTTAAGTGACAAGATGACAAATGCAGAACTTTTTTTTTATTCTGCATCTTTACATGTTTAAAAATGGCTACATTCTCTTTCACTTTCCCTCCTCGATGCTCCGGACTCGGCTCAATAATCCAGGGCTCAATAATCCAGGTATACAATCCAACAATTTTCAGTCAGGTCATC